TGGATGGCCCTTGTGGTCTCTTTCAACTCTATGATTCTATGATCATTTAAAGTCTTGCCTATTTTCTGCTAGTAGTATGTTGTCATTTGCATATGTTAAATTGTTGATGTTTGTTCACGCAATGATATGTTCAGTGTACAGGTCAGACAGATATGGTGATAAAATGCAGCCTTGTCTACCTACCCCCCTTGCTAATTGGAAACTATTAAAGTTCTCTTTATTCTGTTCTGATGGTAGCCTCTTGTCCTGCATCAGAACAGGTTATGCATCAGAACAATGAAACACCCTTTTCTATGTAAGAGTGTTACATAGTTTTTCATGATCTACACAATCAAAGGTTTTGCTATAATATTCAAATCACAAGCTGATTTTCTTTTGAAAGTTTTTGTGCACTCCATTATTTAACATATTTTCAGAATATGATCCCTAGTGCCGCTTTTGTTTCTGGACATTTGGACATTTCTCACTCCATATGTGCTAAAAGTCTTGTTGTAGAATTTTGAACATTACTTTGCTTGCAAGGGAGATTTATGCAATGAAGTTGTGGTTAATGCAATACATGGTGTCCTCTTTCTTGGGGACTGGAATGTACGGTCAGCCTGCCATATCCACATGGATTCTGTATCCATGTATTAAACCATCTAAAGCTTCAAAAAAAATTCCCCAAAAAGCAAACCTTAACTTTGCCATTTTATATAGGTGACACCATTGTACAATGCCATTGTATATAATGGAATATGAGCATCTATGGATTATGGTATCCATGGGGTATCCTGCAACCAAACTCCAGTGGATACCAAGGGCCCACTGTATATAGAGCATTTCTAGTCTGTGGGTAGTTGCTTTGTTTTCCATATTTCTTGGCAGATTTTGGTTAGAACCATTCTGTCTCTGTAACATAAAGAAACTATTGGTATTCCATCTATTACTGGTGATTTATTTCTTCCAAGTGCCTTGAGTGCAGCTTCCATTCTAAAACAGTAAAGAAAGAAGAATAAATTCTAATTTGAATGAATCTGACATCCTTCCATCTCTTTTATATAGTTCTTCAGTGTATTGTTTCCATAGTCTTTTTATTTGTACTTGGCCATGGAGAGTGTTCCCCAGATGGCTGTATGGCATCCCTACTCTTGGTTTAAATTTCTTTTTGATTTGTCATATCTTGTGAAAGAGGTCTTTTGTTCTTGCTTTTTCATTGTCATTTTCTGTTTCTCTGCATTGATTTTTTTTACAATAGTTCTCTTTGTCTCTGTGCACAAATCACTGAACAGTTAAATTCTAACATTTACTTGGACCCTAATTCATGCTTCATCAGCAGGAGTGTACCCTGAAATGAAATTCCATTCACAAGAGACTCTCACTAGTGTAAAACAAAGAAATTCCTACCAATTCCCTCTCCTTCAGTGGCCTTCATTGTTCCCAGAGGGTTCCTTGAAACATATTTTAAAGGAGAGTTGTGGAATGCTGGGGGACAGAATTGGCTACGATCCAAAACACACTGCAGAAATAATCCAGTTTGAAACCGCTTTAACTGCTGTGGCTCAGTGCTAGGGAATCCTGGAATTCTAGTTTATTGTGGCACCAGAGCTAGTTCCCATAATTCCTTAGCATTGAGCCAGGACAGTTAAAGTAGTCTCAAACTGGATTATTTCTGCAGTGTGTTTTGGACCTAAGATCCATGCCTCTTATCTACTAATGGAATTTCTTTATGGGATCCCAACTGCTTCAGACAGAAGAAACCCCTTCTTCCCACATAAGACTGACAATAGTTCCAATCCGATGTGTGTAGAAGGAACTAAATAATAATCCGAAACTCTATAGAAATGCTGTTACTACTGTGTTGAATGGCTGTAGCTCTGTTTTTAAATACACACACACTTTCCCTTACATGAAAGGAAAGAGAAAATATTGGAGAGAAGAGATGGGGCTATGGCCATTTAAAGTACTTATTTTTTTTTCATTTCTTTCTTAATAAGCAAGGAAAATCACAGCTTTTAATGAGACACAGAAACTACAGAAGTTATATTCCTGGTAGACAGTATCCCAAAGTGTTAATTTATGCATATATAATCTATTGTGCTGCTTCCAGAGACACCAGTGGGGCTAAAACCCTGTTTAAAGTAATTATTATCAGAAATATCCAGTAATTATGAGTATTGATATTTGGCTGTTTCAGAAAGACCAATTTATAGTTAACCTCAGTATTTATCAAATATGGCTGGGTTCTTGTGTATTTAATTCTTTGATTAATATGTTTTATGTATCTCTCTGTGAGACATTTCTGAACTACAAAATTAGCATGACACCTGCTTGTGTATGCCGGACATTGAAATGAATATGTGTTTGTATCAGAGATGTGGGTGGAAATTTTCCAGAAAATGTTCTGATGTTATACTTATTAGTGGAAATTTTTCTGTATATCCATAGTTTTCTGGGCTTTTGCACTATAATCAGTGAAGTTATATTGCCTAAATATAGAATACCAAGTTCTTATTATTGTAAGGAAAGAAACATTGACAAACCCTAGTGCACAGAGAAATAGACTGAGAAAAGAATGTGATGCTAAGCTTATTTTTATTTCACAAAATCTCTTGCCTCTCTGTTAGTCACAAGTACAAGTTGCTTGTGCCCACAGACTCACATTCATTTGTAATGAAATAAAATGTTCCACTAGTTGTACTAAATAATTTTTTCTCAACTTGAAATGGAGCTGATAAGTAGTGGAGAGAGTGAATGAATGAATCTGAAGGAACTATAATTATACTTCAGTAAAAGAAAGTTACACTATTGATATTGAATACAATTCTTTATAGGTATCTGACTTTAAAAGAATAGTGTTCTTTCAGATATAGTCACTTTTGTTAAATAAAAGGGAAGTATATGCTGTTATCTTCATTGTTGTCGTGATGGTGGTGGTGGTGTGCCTTCAAGTTTCTGACTTATGGCAACCCTAAGGTGAACCTATCACTAAGTTTTCTTGGCAAGATTTGTTCAGAGGAGGTTTGTCATTGCCTTCCTCTAAGGCTGAGAGAGTGTGATTTGCTCAAGGCCACCCAGTGGAATTCATGGGATTTGAGCAGGGATTTGAACCCTGGCCTTCAGAGCTATAATCAAACACACAAACCACTACAACACATTTATGTTGTTAGAAATATTCCAGTACATTAATTTCCATGTAAAGCTTTAGATGTGTTTGAATATAATATTTGAACCAAATATACTAAAAGATGAGATTATTAGAACATTCAGAATTTTTCCTTTTCAACTTTTTCTCAAAAACCTACATCACTGGTTCCTATAAACAGCAAGAGAGTAGGATTCTGTAAATATGATAGATAGTGGTGTATATGTGTTTTCTTACATTCCATAATTTTGTTAGTTCCTGAACATAAACACATTATAATAGTGAAGGGCTTTTCTAGATAACTGCTTGTCATGTAATTAAGTGCACAGATGTCTTATGAGTGATGAGGTATTGCAGAGTCTGTCTTCCCCCTGTTCAGCAACTTTAAAAAATATATGTTGCATAAGTGTTCACAGCAAAGTGTCATCATACTTAACATATTAAATTATCAGTATTAAGCTAATATTTGGTACAACTCTTATTATTCTCCCAGTATTTTTTGGAAGTGGGCATTTTCTGCAGAACAACAAAAATCTGTTTTTTGCATTCTTCTGTGTACTGAGAATGAGGAGAGGGAGTTTAAATATTACCCAGTAGAGTAGTCCTATATGTAAGTGTATCTCAGTTAACAAAATAGATGTGTTCCTGAGCATTACTTTTTTAAACTGAAGCTTTGGTACCAGAGGCAGAAATAACATGGGAAAATAGGAATAGGTTATTTTACAGTTCAATGATTTTTAGTTCAGTTCAGTTTCAGCAATTTTTTTAAAATCCAGATTGGCCAAATGCACATGTGAAAGAAACAATCAGGTCAGGGAAATTATTTAGTATCCTCTGGGATTTGATTCTAGGACCCCATGTAGATAACAAAAATCTGTGGATGCTCAAGTCCCATTATACACAGTGGCATAGTGAAATGGTGTTCCTTATATAAAAGAACAAAATCAAGGTTTGCTTTTTGAAATTTATATATTTTTGGACTATATATATTTCAAGTTGTGGATAGTTGAATCCATGGACATGGAGGGCTGATTGTAGAAACATTTCCAACCCTCTCTAGAGACCACTTGAAGGCTTCTTCCAAAATGTATCTGGGGACAATTCATTGTTTTACCAGCCTCCACTTTTCTTATGACTGCCATTTTGGTGGCCAAACTTACAGATCAATGCTCTTAAAAAAAAAACAAAACAATATCATACTGGGTGAAGCTGATAAGGCAGGCTTATGTGTTTAACTCTTACATTTTATGCATGCTCAGCAAGGGATTCTGGACCATTTTATATGCAGTGTGGTGGCAATACTCATACCACTTGTGTACCTAGAATGATCTGCCACTTCAAAACAACGCAGTATTTGGTTTCTCAAATGTTGGAGGCCACACTGCTCTAGTGAATGTATCAGGTTCAATTTATGCTCCCTTCAGAGTCTCATCCTGCTGCCAATGGCTGTAACAGATTGTACAATAGTAGGTGTAGGAATCTCTGGCTGCCACTTGGGAACAACACACATTTAGAAAGTCATAGCCTTCATTCAATATCTAGGATGGAGAAGAAGGGCCAGCATGGTATAGTGGTTTGAGTGTTGGACTATGACTTTGGGGACCAGAGTTCGAATCCCCCACTCAGCCTCAAATGAAGGTAATGGCAACTTGTCTTTAAATATGTCTTGCCAAGAAAACCCCATGATAGGCTCACCATAAATTGGAAATGACTTGAAGGCACACAACACACAGGATGAAGCAGATCCTGAAAGGAAAAATGTGTCTTACTACCAACTGGTCACCCCAGCAAGGTTCTAATGCTGTGGGACAGTTGCTCTATATACTCAGGATAAGCAAGTATGGTGGATCTCCCTTGTGACCTGCACAGATCAGAGAGTGGATGGCTCCTGTATCTGGGGGAAGTAATTGTGGGTGGGAATAATATGTATTAGCAGCTGGTGCACATATTCCCCATACACAGCAGGTGTTTGTAAGGGGACAAAAGGGAGAGAGTAATGAGTACCACTTGCATTCTCAGCTGGTGTTCATAGTGTAGCCTTTACAGTGCTAGTCACTGTGAGCATGAGTCCCCTTATAAGTTGCAGAGAAGCAGGGTGTGAGTGTGGCTCTTGTTTTTCTGATCCATGCATCTGGGCTGTAGTCAAGAGTGCTCATGAGTGGCAGTAGCTTGAGTGGAATGTTTGACGTTTGCCTGGTAGAGCTATTGATACTGTGTGGAGGGATAAGTTACTCCCCTGAATGTGGGAAAAATTGCTTCCCACTGTTGGAGGCTGGGAGAGTGGATGATGGTAAAGAGAGAGACCAATGTATTTCATCCAAGACATAATGTTGATCTATGGTAAAGAGATGGGTGGTAGGGTAGGATGACAGAAGACAGTTGCAGCTGATAACATATTCCTGCCCCCCTTTTGTTTTTGTTTTTGCTTACCTGTGTGGGGTGCTCACACCTGCTTATTTGGAGTGCCACGGGCAGTTGATGCTATCTCCAAAGATACCAGTTGAGGAGCATCATCTATGCTTCCCACTTTTCAAAATGAGTACCCAGAGCAGCATCATATCATATGAGCAGCAATAATTGTGACAAAGCAACAGCAGTAACCCACAACAGGAACAATTATAAATAGCCACCACATCAGTGGATGCATTTGCATCACATGTCAAGCCAAGTCTCATAAATGGGTTGGTTGCATGCTCCTCAGTGGGAGCAGCTAAACCCACCATAGAATTAATTGTGTTGTTTATCATTGGGCAGCTTCTCTTCTCAGGTTTGTTCCCACAGAGTAAACCACAGAAGGAACATAGCGTTTGTCCCCAGACACTACGGTAAGCCAGTTTCAGAGCCAGGCTCCCTAGTTTGTTTGATTCTTCCTGTTGCTGGCTGGACCAGTTGGACAGCATTTATTAGTATGCAGCTCATTCACAACACTCCAGACTTCCAGTGGGTTCCTGGAATGTCATGTTGTGTAAAGTAAAGTAAAGATAGCAATCAGTACATACCCTTTTGCATTAAACAATTAGCAGTATACTAACTCATTGCAGTTATCTTAGACCTAAACAGAGAACAAGATAGAACCAACTACAGAAACAAAAATGCATTACATGCAATACATAATCTCTACTCCACAACATGGGATTCTCTATAATTAACCCTGACGTATTGGTTGCCAGGTTCACCTTTCTCTTTCATGGAAGCCTTCCTTCCAGCTATCACCTGGGTCTCCTTCTGTCCCTTCCCTATCTTTCAGCTAAGGAGATAATGATTACCCATGTACTGATTTACTGTTATTCAGGATGCATGTGCACTGCAGAACTAATCCAGTTTGATACCAGTTTAACTGCCATCACTCAGTGCTATGGAATTCTGGAAATTGTAGTTTGTTGTGGCACCAGAGCTCCCTGACAGAGAAGGCTAAGTGTCTCACAAAACTACAACTCCCAGAATTCCATAACACTGAACCATGGCAGTTAAACTGGTGTATCAAACTGGATTAGTTCTGCAGTGTGGGTGCAGCCTAAATCTCTCCATCACTGTCTTCCCACAGCAGGCTTTGTCATGCTTCTGGTGGGGAAGGAGGAAGCAAAATTACAGTGCTCAGGGTATTAGGCTTCTAGGAAGGCAAGTATTGGTAATGGTCTTAAGCCCCTGTGGTGTACTGGAGATAGACTGAATGTACCAAGTGCCTTTCCACCTTGTTTCAGTCTTCCACCTTGTGAAATCTTTTTAAATCATTTGTGAGATGGCTTGGATCCCCAACTGGGAGAAAGGCAGGATAGAAGTGAATAAGTAATAAACCAAGTAGACACAGTCTGAGCCCAGGGAGCTATAACCACTCATTTTATCACCTGACCTGTAGTTTTCTTGTGTGGAGTTTATATACTGGTGATATACTGTCATTGCGTGCTGAATTGTACCATATCTTATACAGTTGTGGCAACATGGGCAAGATGTGGTTGACATGGAGTTGGCTTACATACGTACCCATTACAGTTAATGGAATGAGTTTATTTATTTATTTATTTATTACCTGCCTCTCCTTGTGGCTTGAGGTGAGTTACAGCATAGTTAAAAACACAATCGTTACATAAAATACACATATTAAAAATGCATCTCTACACAATATTTATATTAAAATACATAAAACAATGATTAAATATAAAATTCATGTTTAAAATTCATGATTAAAACTGCCTGGGTAGGCCTGCTGGAAGAGATAATGGCATTGAATCAGTTATCAAGTCCATTTCCACCATTGACAGGAGCATGGCCTTGCAGGATTATAGTATATGGTGTGAGTGTGTTTTTGCCTTTTGCTGCCTGAACTCCACTGAGTTTTAATTGTTCTGCTGGTGCATCTTCAACAGTAGAAGAGGTCCACCAAAGAGATATGCTAGTGGTGTATCTGTTACAATGCCAGTGTATCTTGCATTCCACTTGGCTATCAGGGCTTCTGGCAACTGCCATAGTTCTTCAGATTAGTGCGATCTGAATATAGGATTATACTGTGCCATGCCTTCCCCAGTGTTGTTTTAGTCTAAAACTGAATCATAATTTTGTTTAAAAATTAAATATGGTATGTTGAATTTGAAAAGATCAACATTTGGAGAATTATGGTCATAGATTTATGGTAGAATTTATTTATAGAATTTGTCTTTCTCTAGAACTATCTCCCATTTAAATCATGTTTGAATTCTAAATTAATTTTATGGAGACTTAAGTCTTTCAAACTGTAAATCAGGGGTAGGCAACCTTTCCCCTTTAAGGGCCGAGGGACTTCAGCTCCCAGAAGCCTCAGCCATGATGGCCAATAGTCCCATGTTGGCCAATAGCTCCTGGGATTCTGGGAGCTGAAGTCCCTCGGCCCTTAAAGGGGAAAGGTTGCCTACCACTGCTGTAAATATATATTGTGCCCGCTACTGTAATCTTTCTCTTGCTTTCTCTTGTTTCGTGTAATAGAAAGAGGTTATGAATTTGTATTTGTCCTGGTGCTAATAATTCAATTTGAACTTATAGTTTG